ATACAATTGCTCGTTTTCTCTTAAATCATATGTATATGTTTCTAATCAAAATATTGACAATGAATATGAATCACTCTGGATCTGACAACCTTGATAAATATTGCAAACTTAAGAGGTGCAATTTGATTTCATTGATCTCTTTCGTGTGGGGTGCTGTTACAGATCTGTTAGGCTAATATCGCCTGAGCGATTGTTAAAATAGAACCTGATACTGCCAACAAAGTCTTTGAAATTTGAATTGACGGGAAAACCTGCACGGAGCAAAGTCAGCTGCGGAATATTTTGAAAGTTTATGGCTCAAAGAAGGAGGTATATCAAATTGTAATTGTAGGAATGAGGCAATAATTCCCGAAAGCAACCTAATAAAATATAATATTTCTAGTTGGATAACTATGGTATAGACAACTATGAAATAAAAACCAACGAGATAAGTGCATTTTTGTTAACGAAATCTTTATTATATACCGATAAAGAAGAAACGATTAAATATACTATGAACAATGTGAAGGAATATTCAAAATTGCATCAATTATTTGCTTACAAAAACTTTTTGCATATTAAGTTTCAATGAAACCAAACCAATAATATTATTAATAGACTAATGTTTCTTCCAAAATTTGTTTCTTTGTCATTCTATTTAGATACAAATTGACAAATTTGCTATTCTATTAAAAACACATGATTTCATAATAGAATAAAACAAAGTTAACTATATGTATGTTGCTTAATGGGAATACGACCAACTGACGCCGAAACTAATATATAAAAATAATCGCATAAACTATAAATTCAATATGCATACTCTCGCATACGAGTACGAGTACAGGGACAAGTTTTATAACAAACCACCATGCCACACCACCCAATAAGTAGTATGTACTGCTATTGCAAATATTTAACACAACCACCATTCCGACCATACCGCCGCATCACACAACACACCACTACTATCACAACAAGGACCAAATCAAACAAAACACAACAACACAAAAATGTATTTAGGTTTAAAACATTTGCACTTGCTAAATAAAACAAAGTTCCTTTCTACCGGCCTAGAAACCAACAATTGTTGGTCCATTTCAAAACTGAAATTTAACACGCACTTATTGCACACAAATATCGCCCGCATTTGCAGATTAAAGCGTGCATTATAATGGATGACGCACTGGCATATTCAATGTTTATTTCTAAGGCATTCGGTCCACCACATATTTAATAAAATCTAAATAAATTTATTTTTTGTTTCATAAAATAATAAAGCATATTTTTAATGCATGATGATAAGATTCGATTAGATTTGTATTAAATTAAGCGAGAGCCTTATAGCGATCAAAATAAGTTATAGAGGGTAAACGGAGGGTGGGTAGATGGTTATGTGGCATGGTATGGTGTGGTGCGCTGCTTGTCCTCAATGCCTCAAATTGAGTTGTTGTTAAGTAAACATTCGACAGTTTTGCACTTGTATGAGTGCGTGTATAAGCCAAGAACTCAAATGGTTAAATTTAAATGATAAATTAGCTTGGTGACACTTGGTTTGATGACAATCTAAAATATGCTGTATTGAATAAATCTATGGATGTATGCATGTATGTATGATGGTGCGGTTTAGCCATTACAATGGATGTTATAATATTTTCAATGCTAAAAGTTAAGCGTGTGATTGTCTGCACATGTTCAAGGACATTCAATAGTTTCCTATTAATAGCTTAGTGTTTAATTAGTTTACGATACTTATTAACAGATTAAGATAAAATTAGCAACTATATGGAACTTTATAATTTCTTGTTTGAACATCTGTATTGCGTGCCTTACATAAAATACGACTTCTACAAAGAATTTCTGATCTTATAAAACTTATAATGATAGATTCATTAATCTGAAAATAATGGGGAAAATAATCCAATCAAAATCAATCTGGACAATAATTTGGACTTTAGGATTGTCTATAGCCTGGACTTCAGTATGATCTATAGTCTTAATAATAAACTGATCTATAGTCTGGACTGTATGTAGATTAACAAATAGTTTATACTACATTCTGATCTATAGTCTTAAATATGAATTCATTTATAGTCTTAAGACTAGTCTATAATCTGTATTAAAGAAAAATATATAGTCTGCATTAAAGAATGACATATAAAGTGGTATAAAGACTAATCTACAGTCCGGACTTTAAACTAATATATAGTTTGGACTATAGACTAATTTATAATCTGGACTAGACTGGAAAATAATCTATAATATGGACTATATATAATATAGTGTAGATTATATACTGATACTGGACTATATACTATTCTAGAGTTTGGACTTTAGACTAATCTATAGTATGGACTATAGTTCGGACCATATACTAATCTAAAATTTGTATTATAGACTAATCTATAGTCTGGACTATAAACTAATCTACAGTCTGGACAATAGTATCATCTAAAGCCTAGGCTCTAGGCTATAAACTGTCCTCTACTGTAGATTGATCTATAATTTGGACTCTTTACTATAAATTGATCTGTAGTACAGACTGTTGATTGATATATTGTCTCGACTAGAGAACGATGTATAGTTTGGACAATGAACTGATCTAAATTCTTGACTATTGTTGGATCAGTAGTGTGTGATATGGACCTGATCTTTATATAGTCGATTTTTAAATAGAAGCTTTTTATCAAATTAAAACCTCAATAATTTTAAGGACATTTATACTTTTCCATATTCAGTAAAATTTCTAATTTTAGATAAAATAAATATCCATTTATATCCGACATTTTCTCCTTTTTTTAATATTGAAATTTTTTCTTATTTCTTTTGTTAATAATTTAATTAAGTACTTGAGTTCATAAGAAAACGAAAACAAACTAAACCAGCTGTGATTTTTAAAATCGTAGCACCAACCGATTCGCCAGGTTGCTGTTGCCAAAAAAAGTTCTGGTTAAAAACAAGCAAACACCAAAAACATTCAACGGAGCGGCAGCATCAAACTACTCATCCTTTCAATAACAAAATTAAAATCAACTGAAATATCACCCTCAATGACTTTTTCAAAACAATTCAATTGCAAACGCGTGCCATGTGACCTGAAACACATGTTTTTTGGGATTTGCACAAATATACCCACTTGTATTTTATAAATCAGATAAGAACATCATCATCAAATCTTAAATGTTTTCCTGTTGATCCTTTTTTATTATTTTTGTTGTGTTCGGCAGCTATTATTGTTTGTAGTTGTTTGATGTTAAACATATTAATAGTGTTAGAAAAGTGAACACAAATAGAAGGGCAGGAATATTTAATAGTTAAAGTAGTTTTACAAAACAAAAAGAAACAGGGATGAATTCGAGTGATGAAGTAACGAACGAAAACGAACGAACGAACAACGAAAGAACGAACGAACGAACGAACGAACGAACGAACGAACGAACGAACGAACGAACGAACGAACGAACGAACGAACGAACGAACGAACGAACGAACGAACGAAACGAACGAACGAACGAACGAAAGAACGAACGAAGAACGAACGAACGAACGAACGAACGAACGAACGAAACGAAACGAACGAACGAACGAACGAAGAACGAAACGAACGAGAACGAACGAACGAACGAACGAACGAACGAACGACGAAGAACGAACGAACGAACGAAAACGAAACGAACTAACTAACGAACGAACGAACGAACGAACGAACGAACGAACGAAGAACGAACGAAACGAACGAACGAACGAACGAACTAACGAACGAAAACGAACGAACTAACGAACGAAACTAACTAACGAACGAACTAACGAACGAACGAACTAACTAACTAAAACTAACTAACTAACTAACTAAACTAACTAACTAACTAACTAACTAACTAACTAACTAACTAACTAACTGACTAACTAACTAACTAACTAACTAACTAACTAACTAACTAACAAAGTAACTAACTAACTAACTAACTAACTAACTAACAAACTAACTAACTAACTAACTAACGAACTAACTAACTAAAAATTTGATCCAAAATGTTCAAAAATGAACTGTCAAAACAAGATATTCATTAAAGGCCCCTTAAAAAAAACTTTTATAAAACAACAAACTCCTGCAAAAAGGATGAATCAATGTTTAATAGAAACCACGACCAACCCTAAACCACAATAACAGAGCTAATAATTAAGGCATTAGTCAATTGTAATGACTGTGGTTAGGGGTGGTTAAAGATGAGGCAAGCAATTTTGAGTAAAGGGGAGGGAGGAATTGTTTGTGTGTGGATATCAATTCACGATCGTTTATATTCAATTAAAAACCTTTTAAAGAACGCACCCAAAGCCAAAAATAAACTGACTTGAGCGGGCAACAATTCATACGCAAAGGGAAGGTACTTATGACAGTGAGACGAATGATGTTAGTGGGTTTGTTGGAAAATGTACACTTGCTGTTGTTAATGCTGAAACAACAAATCGCAGAAGCAGGAACAAAAACATGATGTTGCACTTGCTACAACCATTTCTATAATGTTGAAACAAAAAATCACCACCACCACTGCTCGAAGCCGAAAAGTGAAGCAAAGCAAATACTAACGGAGGCTGGTAGTGTACCGAGTGATGGTAGCCAGCAGTATAGGGCGCGCAAACGCTGGGAATTTTAGCACTTGTTGGCACATGTTGTCATCATCGTCATAGAGTTTAGATGTTTTGACACTGCAAGCCGTAACAAATCGTTTTGTAAATCGCAAATAGCAAAAACCTTAACACTTTCTAATGTTTACAACAAATCGTAATCAGGATATGCGTATAAGGGTTTTGCACAAAAAACACTCTGCTCTGTTCTGCCGCGTTGCTCCTGAACACGTGGTCTTTTGCAGCAATGAGATGAATGTGCGATGCGACATATAAAAGCACAGGACATTTCCAATTAGAGATTCAAATTCAAGTTGGAATTCAAACGAGAAACAACACAAATTAGAAAAAATATTAAAAGCGAAAAATATTTAAAAATAGTTTAATGTTAAAATATGCTGCCAGTTTTGCCTAAATCGCTGAATACACATCACAACCAATTAGCGGATATTACCACAAACAGTCAAAACTCTCCGAGACAAAGTCCTACACAAAGTGTAAATAAACGCAGCCCCAGCATGATATTTCGCATAGAACACTTGTTACCGAATACCTCGTCTGCATCCACATCACCTCCCGCCACAATTGCTACCAGTGACAGAACTATGGATCCTACGGATTTATCACCACCTAAAAAATCCAAAATCATAAGAGCTGGAGTACATGTTAGTCAGTTAACACCAAGAGATACCATATCAGAAGCACTTGATGCACAAACTTTAATCAATGGTGCCACAACTGTCGAAACAACGGCACGTGCTTATTGTTCTTTAATAAAGGAAACCAATACTTTAAGTATGACACCCAGTATAATGAGAAAAATAAAACTTTCCGAGGATACCCACAGCAATAATGCATTATTTGAAGTCAGCAAAGGACAGGTGGTTTTGCGCGTTGTGCGTGACATACAAAGAGATGACGAAATTGTGGCTTGGTTTGGTGAAGAAGTCACTCTTCTAATGTCTATACCCTTCTTAACACCTCTTAATATACAGGGTAATAATCGCTACACGTGTCACTTGTGTCATTTGACATTTGAAACACCGAATCCTTTAAAAATCCATTTAGCTTTAGGTTGTGGTCGCCATAATATAGACATTCTATGGATACGCTTATTTTATGCTCTCAAAGCTACACATTACACTCAACATATGTTACCTCTGCCATTGCCAGTACCGGGAAATGCCACGTCATCTAGGCTTTCGCCTGTGTTGCCTACCTCATCGGCTACATCTTCTTCAATATCACCCTCACATTCGCCTCAACCACAACCTTCCATATCCAGGTTTTCTGCCTTTAAGCCTATCTGCTCATCCGCCTCAATTCATCACCCGCATCTAGCCACATCAATGTCAACGGTAATGGCCTCCAACCTTGGTGTTCCCCAACATCATACTACCTCGGCTCCCCTCTCTTTCCTACCATCCATCTCCTCAGCAGCCTTGCCCCATATGAGTCTTCTACAGCCGTCCTCTTCAAATCCTCTCAATGCAGCTGCTCAAATCGAAGCTATAGTCAGTAATATGGGTGCTTCGAAACAAGGTCATCTCTGCATCTATTGCGGCAAAGTCTATTCCCGCAAGTATGGTCTCAAAATACACATACGTACACACACCGGCTTTAAACCCTTAAAATGCAAGTTCTGCCTGAGACCTTTTGGCGATCCCAGTAATTTGAATAAACATGTACGTTTGCATTTGCAAAACAGTGCGAATAATTCATCGTCGGAAGGTTATCAGTGCAATTTGTGTCCCAAAACTTTGGGTAGACGCAGGGATCTGCAGAAGCATATGGAAACTCGCCATGGCTATGCGAGTACAAGTAGTGATGCAGCAGAAAAAGTTGAGACAACAAATTCTAACTAAAAGTTAGAAAGGGAGCTAAGTACAACGAATTTTGAGAGTTGCTAACCGTAAATACAGGGTCTATGAAATTGTGATATTAGTAATAAGCTTAAAGATATTTATTGTAAATTATTATGAAATAATATTTAATAAATCGATTTATACATATATTTATATAGAAAATAAATTTTCCAAAATGTTTTACTTTTTAAAAATTTTATGTTGTAACCCCAGCTTAAATGGATCTTTTTGTAAATGTGGAATTTGAACAATTTGAAATATAAGTCGAAGATCCTAAAAGATGATCTGAAAGAATGTTTTATTTCGATCAAGAAATACAGATATTTTGATCAAGAATTACAGATGAAAATTTTGAGAGTTGTATTTCTAATACGAACAAGTTTTCGTGTAGTTGATTGTAAGAAGATCGCATGGAAAATGTTCATAAACAATATTTGAAACGATTATTAAGCTAAATGGATCATTTGCTGATTTTCTCAAGGAGGCCTTATTTGGGGGCTAGTGTCACTCATGGGCCTTCAAAACACCTGTTTGTGTGGAATATCATTAGAATATTAATGTTTTGAAATCATTTAAGAACGTTATGGGGGACCTTCAAGTTTCAAGTAAAATGTGATCAGATTTTCACCAGTTTAACACCTGAAAAAGACAAGATATATGTATTATATATCAAAGGATAGGAAATTTTGTCTATTTTTAAAAACTATATAAAACTTTTGAAATTTGTTATCAAGAATCTCACAATTCCTCAAAAAAATGGAATAATTTTCTTGCTTTTCAGAAAGTTCTACAGCTTTGAATTATTTTTTGTAAAAAGTTCTTCAACCAAATAATAATAAAAATCTCCGATTTTTTTTAATATTTTATATTTTTATTTAAATCTTTCACACATTTTGAGTATGTTGTTGTTGTTAATGTTTGTTTTTTTCATTTTAAGTTCATGTTTGTTTTTAGTGACTTAAATTAAAAATAAAATATTTTGATGTAAGAACCTCAATATGTTTTTGTTTTTTTTTTAATATTTGTTTATTTATATGTATTCGTTTCTGTAATTTAAATTTATTTCAATTACTTTGTTTTAATTTCTCAATAATTAACTGTAAAAATTTTAGAATTTAATTGAGATAAATAGACACCGATATTTTTTGTTTGTTATTGAATTGTTTTATTTCATTAACATTATTTATTATTTTTGCTTTTACTTCTTAATTATAAAAGTTATGTTTTTTATGTTATTTTATTTTTAATGCTTTTTATTACACCAAATATATTTAATAATATAATAAATTTATGAATTTTTTTTTCAACATAAATTCTTGTCTCGAAAGAAGCACACTTGGGTTTTATTTTTTATTTTGGAGGGGGTATTGAAAACTGGAATCATTATTACTCTAACCAATTTTACTACAAAAACTTTGGTTTTTTTTATTATAAATATTTATTAGTATGAAGTATGTTTATTTCATTACATACAAATATATTTACATATTCATTAACAATTTCGTATTTATTTTAATAATATTTTTTTTTTTTGTTATTTCAAAATACTCAAATATTACAATCGTTGTTGTTCCCATTAAGGTAGATTTATTTTTTTGTTTAATAATATTTATTTGCTTTTGTTTTTTATTAACTATAAATTACTTATACAAAAACTAAAATTACAAAAAAAATACTTTCGTCTATCACTAATTCCAACTGTATCCATCTTTCTTTTTTATATAAATGTGTTATACTTAAATTTTGCTCAAGTGCCGTTTTTTCTTTTAAATAATACTTAATTGCGCCATTTTAATTACAACCTGTAAAGACTTTTAACTTAAAATTTTAATTGTGATTTAATATGTTGTCAATATAATACAACCCCCAGAAAAGGTATGCAAATGAAAATGAAGTGTGTTTTTGTCTTGAATTCTGAATATATAATTTGATCTTTTTCTGGAATATCCAATCATAGGATAGAATCAAATTCCAAACAGATTTCATCTATTTTTTAAAACCTCAATCAAAAAAATCTCGGTAATATTGTTCGTAGACCCACAAAAGCTGTATATTTAGATTCTTTATTAAATTCATGTCCGACAGGTCTGCTGAAAACCGAGAGGAATTAAACGTGAGCAGCTAATGTTATTTGGTTATGAAAAGGTATATATCGCTTGGGACCATATTTGACCCTAGCCTTCGTAAAGGGCCTTAGTTTTTTAACCACCAAAGTCTCTCTGTTATTCAAGAGAAATAAGATAATTATCGCCATATACTTGTAATCGGCATCACTGTAAAATGTTAGAATCACATCTATTAATATTACAAGGGGGTCTGTTACGGATTATATTTCATAAGAGGAATTATGTATATATCCGTATTTTGCTTCTTTAGAATTTCTCTCTTCTTCAAAACTTTCAATTAAAATAGATTCTAGTTTCTTATATAGAAACCAGAGATAAAATTGTTTGGAATTATTCGGAATTTTGAAAAGAAAAACAAACTAAATCGGACCAAAACCTCTTAGACTGGTATGTGTAACAATTTTATTCACAACTAAGTTATTTGTTCCAGATTTTGCAAATCGGATGAAATACAAATATTCGAAACATATTACAAACACTGGTCCTACATCAACCTTTAAGTATACCAATCGGCTCTGAGTTGATTAAGCTATGTCCATCCTGTTGGTACGTCTGCCGATTTTCTTATGGTCCTACATCCACCTTAAAGTATAACAATCGGCTCAGAATCACTTGTTGTTGTAACAACTAGTCCGTCTGCTGTTGTTGTAACAGTTCGACTGTGATCGATAGTTCTTTTCTGGGGGAAAAAACTTTCGCTTGATACAGCTGTCACTAGGTTGACAATCTTTGGCCGAGTATGACTCGGATCGTTCCGGAGCGAAGATCCAATTGTCGTGTGAACGTTATCCGTCTGTCGGTGTGTCTGCCGATTTCCTCAGCGATCAGTCCTCATTTGACCGTATCCCACGTACAAAGTCCCCTTCAGAAAATTACTTCAAGATCAATAATTCTCTTATAAACATAGGTATTGCGATGAAATTCTGCATAAATAACTTTAATTTAAACGTAAAGCACTTAACCAAAATTTATAAATATAGGCCCATATTTAGTCTTGCCCCCTTAAAAATTTTTTTGTCAACAAATTGTTAAAATATTTCGGAATTAAGGTAAAAAACAACTTAAATGCTTTATTATTAAAAAATAATCCACATTTTTAACATAGCCACTTATATAGGGTATAATATAATAGGAAATGCCCGGTTATACCAGGCTAAACCGGTTTTATTATACGCTCGGAAATGAGAAGAAATGTATTAGCAAAACCTATTTCAAGTCATATTCAACCCTATTCTGTATTTCAATTCCGTTTTTTGTTGGAATACTAATTTTCGATCGTAGCGTAACTGAATGTGGAAACGTAATCGAAATGCAGAATAGGGATGATTGATTTGGTCTCCGTATGTAATACATCGATGCTATGAAGTATGTTGTATGTATATTTTTAGACCCCTATAGTATTCAGAAACAATCCGTGTATATCCGCTCGTTTTTCTGTTGTTGTTCTGATATCGTTTACAAAAAGGTGCTAAAGGTATGAAATTTTCTTAAATTCTCTCTGTTGATCAGAAATATTATGTATTGAAAATGACCCAAATCGTACAACGGGAAATATACCAAAATGTACGTCCGTTCCCCATCTAAGAACCTAGAATTGTGAAACTCCTCAAAACTTTCTGCCAATACGGTATCGAAAACATGTCTTTAGTGCATAAAAATCGTTTCCAGAGAAACGACTATAATGCGCATAGAAGACAAGAGAATGTTTTCTGTTGATTTGCAAAGTTTGGTATTGAAAATGGGCCAAATGTTTAACAAATTATAGCCTACCCCTTAAACCGGGACTGCAGCTCATTTGAAAGCTATTAATAGTAATAAAATATAAGAATTTTTAAACAATAAACCATAAATTTTCTTTTGATAGGTCCAATAAACAAAGGGTCTCTGTGTGAGTGTAAATCTACTGGGTATGTGGTTGTAAAAATGCACTAGTGTGAGTTTCAGTAATTATATTTTTATTTATTTTACTATAATACGTATGAAATGTTAATTAAAGCTTTACTAAATAGTACATATTCAAACTTTATCAGTTAAATGGTTGTAGTGTGTTAGTTTATAAATATTGTGATGGTATATTGATGACATTGTATTTTTTTTTATTGTACAAATGTAATTTAATAGATACAAAATTTCACCTTATGATTCTTCTTATGTATTACAAGACACATTTTATATTACTTTGTATTTATATCCGTTTATTTTTGTTTTAAATTTTTTTTATTCTGCTCATTTAATTTTAAACAATAATTTAATATGAATATTTTACTGCAATAACAAAATACATACATATACAAATGTTTGTTTTTTTAATCTTAAGCTATAAACTATTTTAAAAGTTGTTTTTATTTTGTTTGTATTTGGGAGATACATAGTAAACTAATTTAAAAAAATACAAATAATACATTACTTTCTAATAATATGTATTTCGGATATTAAATTAATTTCATTCAAAGACTTTTAATTGATACTTGTGTTAAAACTCTTATAAAAAGCTCATAAATGACTTGAACATAGGAATGTAGATCTGACGTGTCCAAAAAAGTTTTTTTTTAAGATTATTGAGAACTTGTTTTTGTGGCTGATGAAATTATTCGAAACATTGGAATATCCCAGTATTCAGAACATCTCAATCTCTAAAGTGTCAAATGAAAATATGAAATTTCTCTAAAAAGGTCACTATTAAGACAAAGAAAAGCCTTACATTCATTATCATCAGTTCGATATAGAGTTCTTCAACTTGTTATTGATACAAGTGAATAATATGTTAAGGTTGCGGTCGGACCTCGGAAACTAAATTAGAGATTTATAACATTTACATTCCTAAGTCCATACATCGAAACCCTATTTAATAGTGAATCTTTGGAAACTTATGTT